CTTTTGCCCTGGCGCTCAAATCCTCTACATATGTTCTTGTTGTGCCAAATCACCGCTGCAGCATCTACACCAGGCTCGATCACGGGACTGGGTTCAGGAATTGGAATCCCCCAAATCCCAGACTCCTATATCATGAGTTTGTGTCGCTTTGGTGTCGCTTTGGGGCAACACTCCTCTCAACATCTATGTGCGAGCCTCGATAAATAGAATAGGCTGTTGGGCCCTTTTACAATAAACCTGATTACGATAAGGAACCCTACGGAATATTACTGGTAGTTGTCCACTCCTCGATATTACCCAGCAACTTCCCCAAGCCAGGCATCTTAAAGTCCAGTCTATGCTACATGCATGTCGTCATAAATGCCACATCAAATGCATGACTGTATGGGGAAATGGGCACTATCGTAGTTCGTTGGGCGTCTCGGGCTAAGGGTTAAGGCTCTTCATGACCCTATGGGTCCATGTACTCATATAGTATATATATATATATATAAATATACATACATATATATATATATACACATACATATATATCTTGGCCGCAAAGTACCTATATAGGGACTACTTTAAGGCCAAAGTATTTACTATTATACTATGTGGGTACATAAACACTTGGGGTGACATATGAGCGAGGCTTTGGTGTGGGTACGAAGCCTTTCGCGCTCACGAGGAAGGCGCGACCGCCAAGTCCGAACACTGCGCAAGGGAAGTTCTCTCAGAGTGGCATCGTTTTTGTTGGGATCCGTTGAGGCACCCTAATTTACAACCCACACACCTTTACGGGATCACCCACACCCTGATGAGCTAGTTTTGGCGAAAAGATGGTGTGAAGCTAGATCGTAAGGGGAGATGACTTGCTGCAGATCAGTGTGCGGCTTCGGGTTCGGGTCTGAAACACCCTTGTTTCGGCTCTCTAATGTAGGGGCCTAAATAATTACCCATACTATTTTGGGGGGGTTCCTTATTATGATTATGGTATAATGGACCCCAAAACCCCATTCTAACTATTAAGGCCCCTATATTAGCTGGAACCCATAGGCAAGACAATCTTCGTCGCCCGTGCTCCAACGGGCAAGAAGAAGATGATTGTCGTTCTATGGACGACCCTGGCAGGAGAGGTATGTGTGTAGCGTTTGGGGCGTTAGCAAGTTACCCCCGATTTAAAGAACAGACCATGCATAGGTTTAGCTTCGCTAAAACTAGTGGCCTGCACATGGCTCAAGTGCACTGGGCTTGCACATAGCCCGCCCATAATCTCTGTGCGTGTTATGTATGGATGTATGCATGTTGTATGCATGTGTGTGTATATATATATATATATGTATGTAGATGCTCTATACAACAGTCACAACCTTATTCATCAACATCTTACTACTACAACTACTACTACTACTACTACTACTACTACTACTACTCCTACTCCTACTCCTACTCCTACTCCTACTACTACTACGACGACGACTACTACTACTACGACTACTACTACTCCTTCTACACTAC